TGTATGTGTGGAGCGGCAGGGGTTGGGGGGTGGGGCAATGCCATAAAATGAGTTTACTGGTGACAGACACATAAGTAGATGAAGGGGAATGAGGATAACCAGGTGACCCTTCTTGGTCCATTCTCTCTTGTCAGACTTTACGTGGAGACTTGAGTTCAGTAAACATTTTTTTATCCTCTGTAAGTACAAAAAGAAAAGGAAAATAGGCCCAAAAGCTGTGATGTGCTGATGGCACTGAACCCCACCTTGGTGACCTTGAGTAATAGAGAGTCATGGGCCAGTGGTAAGCCAGGGAGCATTTCTCATCGGGGGCAGCCGCTCCCCAGTCCGGGCCAGGTGGCTGTGCTCATGCAGGAATGTGGGCCTGCTCTTGCCAAATCTTCCTACTTTTTAAAAGCAGTTGGAAATTGAGATGATTTTGATGTGAAGTCTTCTGATTCATAAATGTGGGTTTAAAAATACTGTGTGGGCCAAACAAAATATCTGCAACCAGTCTTGGCCCACAGGGTTTCAGTTTTCAGTGTCTGGATTCGACAGACCCTTAGCACCTCTAGTCTAGACTTGGCTGCAGTGGACCTGGTCATCCTGCCCCTTCTAACCCAGCACCCACATGGGCCGGACCTCACTGTCCATTCATACATCTCATTACACCAGCTTGCTCTCTGAGGAGATCTTGACTGTCTCCAGATTAAAGTGCTCCACACATTCTTTAGTTTTACATTAAAAAGTTTTCTTGCTCTGACTTGCTCCCTTTCTCCTATGTCTCCCATCAACCTGCATGCATCTTGGATGTGTTCTCTGCACACACAACTATTTGTCAGTGTTGCATTCTGCCATACATCAGGTCGTGCTGAGTCGGAGCCCTCTCAGTGGTTCCTAACAACAAAGCAAAACCGATATTTTGAGATCCAGCCCCTTTTCCACAAGGGTTAAAATGGTTGGCTGCTAACCAGGAGGTCAGTGGTTGGAGAAGATAAGACATCTGCTTCCATAGAGATCTCAGCACTGGAGACTCTGGGCCATTTCTCCTCTGGCCTCCTGGATCAGAGCGAGTATGAATCCGTTCCATGGTAATGAGTTTTTAAATTCCTTTTTCTCTGCTTGCATACTTTCACTACATCTGACAAGACTCATTCCAGGGTCAGATATGGATATCAGCCTGTCTACAAAGCCTTCTCGGACTTTATTTTTGGACTTGGAGACTGGAAGGGGAGGAGCAGACCAGAACTAGGAGAAGAACTAACAGTTTTATTAGAGGCTTAGTGTGTACCAAATACCATATACATGCTTTTAAATCTGTCTAATCCTATGAGACAGGGCAGCAGTTTGTTTTTGGGTTTTTTTTAGCATTTTTGGAAAATTTTATTTTATTAATTTTAATGAACATTTACAGAGGTTTTGGATTTCCATTCATTCATTGTTGCACCTTCTTCTCTCCCCCAAGCCCAGTTCGCTCCTCTCTTCGAAAAGCAAAAGATAAACTCCTTCATTGGTATACAATCCCCCTGCCCCCCACTCCCTCCTACCGCCCCAAATATGCTCTACTATGCAACCTTAATTCTGGATTCTTGTGATAACCATAATGACCTATCATATATCACTTTTATACTGTTCTCTGATGTTTCAATGCAGTATACATAATTTATCCAGTTTCTCTCAGTCTTACCCCAACCCCGATGTCAGTCACATACTACATACAACAGTGGCAATATGTCTTTTTGTGACTGAGATATTTTGCATGGGGCATTGATTTTGCTCAGCAGTTTAAATAACTTTCCCAAAGCCCCAGCAGTAGTAATTGGACTTACACACACACACACACAGCCCTGCCAGCTCCAGTGGCTGTGCCACTCCCGTTCCCACCCACACTGGGTTGTCCTCACTGCTCACTGGTGTTGATTTTGCTCTTATAGTGTCAAGCTGCCTTCCTCCTTCCGCTGACCGGGTGGAGGGAGGGACTCAGCGTTTATTCAGTGCTCATCTCCAGTGCTCATGAAACGCTTGACACCTTGAGCTGCTCCTGTCAGATGTGATTGACGAAAGGATGGTTTGTGTTGTCCTTTAGGCAACAGGTGTGTATAGGATGCGGCCTTCAGATAGCACCCCTGAGAACAGGAACTGCAAGTCTGTTTGTAATTAATTAGAACATAAACGTCAGCTCTTAGGATAGTGAGTGGCATTGACAGTTGCTTAATGAATATTTGTTGACTATAAATGTTTGAATTTTTTGCAAATGATGCTAACCTTGTCACAGTTGTTATGTACATTCAGTTAATCCTCCTTTACTTCGGGCCTGCTCAGGCTCCCCAGTCCATGCTTTTCCATGGCCCTGTTCCTTCCTCATTATCCCAGGCCTCTCTCAGCTTAGGATCTTCTAGACTCAAGTCATTGCCATCAAATTGGAACCAACTCATAGCCGACTGTCCAGCAGGTTTTCCCAGGTTGTAAATCTCATAGGAGACCAGTCTTTCTCCTGTGGAGCTGTTAGTGTATTTGAACCACCAGAGTCACTACCTTTGTGGTAGCAGTGTATCCCCTTGGATACGCCAGCTGAGTTCCCTTAAAGAGCTCCCTTAGTATTCTAGTCTTCTAGACTAGAACTTAGCAGGCAGAGGAGGCTGGCGCTGGTGCTTTAAGAGCTGATGGAGAACTGATCCTTCCTGGGACACTGCACCGGCTTCTCACCTGCATGGAAACAGCACTTCACAGGCCTGGCCTCGCTCCTGGACTTCACTCTGTGGAATGGCCTAATTTTTTTTCCCTTTCTTTAAGGCATTAAACCAAACACTGAATGTTGTGTGAGGACAGTCATGTTTACAAGTATTCATTTCCTTAAAGAAAAAAAGTAGAAACAATCATCTGCTTTATATATTAGCTTAAAAGGCTTTGCTGTTCTGCCCCCTTGGTGCCTACCTCTGCCTCTTGGTCTTGTCCCGGGTTTCCCTTCACATTTCTGCCTCTGCCCCTCCATCTTGCCCCAAGTTTCCCTTCACATCTCTATCTCTGCCTCTCCTTCCTGCACCTGGAATCCCTTGACTTCTCTGCCTCTGTCTCTGCTGTCATCCTCTCGCTTCTCCCTCCTTCTTTTTGCTGCATTTCTTCTAAAGATTCCACCCTCCAATTGTATTTGATGTGTGGTATAAGTATATTGCCCCTCACTCCTGGCGAGTGACCAGGATCACCAGTGCTGTCTACTTTGTGGCCACAGTGACAGAACTGATGGACATATAGGCTGATTTTCATAAATCAGAGGTACCAAGCATTTCAAAACAGACTTATAAGAGTTATTTCTTAAGTGAGTTCTTCTAAATGAGAATCGTTTGAAAATCTCACGTCTTTCCTTATAAGTAAATTCCAAAGTCATGTATTTACTTGGTGTCTGCTGATGAATTACGCTTCTCTGACACCAGGAAAAACCCTGGTGGTTGGTTTCATGCAGCTGTGCAGAAAAGTAAAGCAAGGCTTAGGGACTTTGCCAGCTCTTTCAAGATGGAGGAGATTGAAGCAAGAGGAAGATTTTTTTTTCACTCTGACAGTCGCCACATAAGAACAGAAACTTCAGCCAGACTCCAGGACAAGCAGACGGGTTAGGGCCCGGTTGGGGTGTGGTGAAATAGTGACATCTGATCCAATGCTTCTGAAATAACAGGTCCATTATTAGAGAAAGCCATTTTAGTCTCCATACCAGGACTTGAATGCATGTTCCTGTACAATTACTTCAGTGTATTTTTTTTTTAAAGTAACATGGTTACATATAGCACAGGAATCAGCCTGCCCTTGATGGTGATTGCAGATGTCTGACCCAGGAAAACCTGGCTGCTCACACCATTTACTGTCTGTTGACTCTACATCTAGTTTATCTCTACTGCTTTTCTCCCTGCTATATCTGTTCTCTATTATTTTACTTCTGACAGTTGCTCCCCCAACAAAAGGGAAGGGAAAGTTAAAGCAGTTGCTTAGAAAGAATCATCTGTTGCTCTCAGGAAAGATGTGATAAGGAAAGAAAATAAACTACTAATTAAAATAGACTTTGAAGGCTCTTGCTGTGTTTATCTATTCTTGCTTTGTTCTCTTTACCTCGTCCTCCTTGGTTTAGATAGGAAAGGTCCAGGCTGGGGGATTTCTCACACTGTGTCTGTCTTCATGGTACTAGCTGAGGTCAGAAGGTGTCATCCACTCTCTTCCCTTTCCTTTCTCAGTTACGGATCTGCACTCTGCCCAAACACTTATTGATGGCATTGGCTGTGTGTTGCTCCAGTGCATGCAGACATCCATGCATGCAAAGGACACACATTTGCACATGCAAATCTATCTGCTGAAACTGCAGCCTTTTTTCTGATATAGGGAGCTAAAGACATTGTCTTTCTCTGCGTAATGTAGCATTTAATTTCAGTGTATACTGCCATGGAAGATGACAAAAGGCTGTGTCCAAGCTGCTACCCCTATTTCTATCTTCTCTGAGAATAACTGCCCCAAACACCCTGGCAGGTTATAGATTTCACTATCTGGCATTTGCGAAGACAAGCCAGCATTACTGTGATTGTTTCTTTAGCCAAGTCTGTTCTGATGAATTTGGACATGTAATCCAGTTTCTTTTCCTATGGAGTAAGACTTTGACTTTATGAGACACATTTTGTTCTCATGTGTGACTGGTAACATTGAGACAGGTATTTCCATTTCTTCACGGAGGTCGGGCTTCAGTTCTTTGTAACTAATAAGCTCTTGTGTCCCTGGATTGTGTGGGCCTAAAGCGGTTGCAGTTTTGGGGAACTGTGTGCAGAACACAGGGCTCAGGTACAGGTTAAGGAAGTCGGTTTCGCACTACCACTGTGTTCTTCAAAAGCAACATGCTTTTCTGTAGAGAGACCAGAGCCACATTCTGCAGGTGTCTGTTTTCTTTGAGGGAAATATTTTGAGGAAACCTGAAAGAGAGAAACCGAGCATTTAGGAAAAATATATTTTCACAGCAGGATATTGTTTTTTCTCTTCTTTTGCTTTAGGTTTTTCATTTGTTACAAGCCTACTCAGACTCCAAACACAGGACAGATTCAGACTTTCAGCAGGAGCTGACTGGCATCATGGTTTGCACCAGAGCCAGACTCTGGCTGGCCAAGAGGTATGTTAAACTCCACATGAGCAGCGAGTTATCAGATCTTAGAAACACATTACAGAATTGCTTATTCTGGTGGTAGGGAATTTTAAAAGGCACGGATTTTCTCAGCATACTGGAATATTTATACTTTTAGAGTTTTGGGTTGTGGTAAAGAAAGAAAAATATTTCCTTTACAATTTTTCTAAAGCTGCTTCTTGACTGAGAAGCATGTAATATGGCTTATATCTTATTAATCCCTTTTATGTTATCCCAGCTCTTGTGTTAAATATCATAAGAGTAAAAGGCGGTAATTGACTGAACCATTGGATTGTTGTTGTTGTTGTTGTTGTTGTTGTGTACCGTGAAGTTGGAACCGACTTATAGCTGACCCTCCAGCTGGTTTTCAGTTAATTTCATGAGAGGAGACTGCCCATCTTTCTTTCATGGAGCAGCTGGTGGATTCGAGTTGTGTTCTTTAAAGATTGCAGTACAACTTCTTACCATTAGGCCAGCAGACTCTAAAGTCCCATTGCTCAAGGTTAGAAGTTAGCCTGAGATTTGAGGAAATGGCAGTGAACAGACAGGACATGAATGGAAAGAGAGGATGGAAGTTACCATTTTCCGATGAGTACTAGAGAAGCTTGAGCAAACAGGACAAAGAAGGGTGGGTATGTTTTCTTTCTCGTCCATGGCATTTTTGTTTTATTCTAGAACTTGGCATGTTTCCTTTGTGAAAGAGGAAGGAGAGAAAAGAATTTCTCATTTAATTCCTATTGCATCTTCTCAGTAATGCCGTATTCAAGGTCTTTGTCTGAGGACCTTGATAACGACAGGACATTATTAGCATAAGCACTCTTCTGTGTGTCTTCACTGTGTTCGGGGGGGAAAGCCTCCCTGTTAACACAACCTGTACTGTAACACAGTGCAGTCGATGAAGGTTCAGTGTATTGGCTGCCTAATGTAGTAGCTTCTCTCGCTTCACTCATTGCTGTCAGGTCCAACTGAGAGCGGACCCTCCAGCGGTTTTCTGAGATCATAAATCACACAAGGATTCCCCATTTTTCCTCTCAAACCCCTGGTGGATTCACAGACTGCCAGACATGCATGAGCTTTGGGTTATAAGTTCGACTCCCTATAGATTATTCCACCAAAACTCCCTTTTTATTATTTTTTTAAAAAACCCAAAAACACAGCTATGCTTGTCTTAGACTCCTGACCTTATTGCTGATCAAATAATGAGACCCATAAATCAGTTCAATTCAGTAAGGTGTTACTGAGTGTAGGTTACATGTCAGGCTTTGTTAGGAAATGTCAAGGATGCAGAGATACAGGAAAGCTCATCTAGGTGGGGAGACCGATGCATGAATAAGGAATTTTATCTAAAATTATTAAGTATATTAACATATGTGTAATAATTACAGGAGTAACTCAGGAGAGGGACAGGGAAGGGCTGACATTGAACTGGCTTTTAAGGAATGAATAGAATTTTATCAAGTAGAGAAAACAGGCTCAGGTGGCAGTGTATGCAGAGACAGGGTGACACAAAGTGTCATGGGAATGTGGCGACAAGGAAGTGACCCCGTCTGGAACCTAAAGTGTAAGACACATGGAGTAGAGAACAAAACTAACTAAATAAATGGCAGGCACGCACAAGACCATTATTGTAAGAATGGGATTACTAGTAAGATATGCACTCAAGTCGAATGTGGGGAGGGGAGGGAAGAGAGGGGCTGAAGGTGGGGAGGGAAGAAAGCACAAAATCATAGAGTTTGGTGGGCAGAGGGAAAGGGTGAAAGGAAACAGGAAAGATCCAGTGGGGACCTGAAAAGGAGAGTTTATGGTAAACACAGGTCAATCAACAGGAATTAATTTTATAAAACACAATATATGGGAATGAGTGTAAGAAACGCAGTGTGAATAGAGAAATGTGTGAAACATGTGTATAAATAAAGCACAATGTATACAGAATTTGTATGCAAACTAATATAAAAAGAATTTAATTTAAAAAAAAAAAAGCTTCTCAAAGTGTCTTTTAGTTGAATGGGAGCCACTAAAGGATGTCCTGGTGTGTGCATGTTGTTGTTATGTGCAGTTGAAATGGTCATGACTCAGCAACCCTGTGAGCAACCTCTCTGAACCCCGCCCCATCCTGGGCCATTCTCACCATCTCCAGCACACTTGAGCCCATTGCTACAGTCACTGTGTCAGTCCATCATGTTGAGAGTCTTCCTTTTCTACATCAGTCCTCCCCTTTACAAACATGGTGCACTTCTCCAAGGACTGTCCCTTCCTGACAACATGCCCAAAGCATGGGAGACAGAGTGCCACCATTCTTGCCTCCAGTGAGCACCCTGGTTTCGTTCTCCAAGACAAACTTCTTTGTCCTCTTGGCAGTCCATAGGATGTTTAATACTCTTCTCCAGCACCACAACTCAAAGCCATTGATTCTTCTTCTGTCATCCTTAGTCATTGTCCTGCTCTCTGATGCATAGCAATCAATTGAGAAGACCACTAGGGTCTTCTAAGGCTTGAATCAAGTGCACCTTCAAACTGATGGCATTGTTCTTTAGGACTCTGGAGAGGTCCCTGACGGCAAATTGTCCCAATTGTGGATAAAAGCAAGATGAAACAATTGACAACTTTAGTCTTTTCTCCATCAATTATGATGTTGCCTGTTGGTGAGGATTCTTGTTTTCTTGATGTTGAGATACAATCTGTATTGAAGGCTATAGTCCTTGATCTTCTCTGTCAATAAATGTCTACATACCAAACATTTGGGGTAGGGATATTGATGGAGAAATTATAAAGTCTGGTTTTGTAGAAATTTAGATATTTAGAAAGAAGAACTCATTAGCTGAGAACAACTTTCCTTACCCTGGTGTCCTTGGCCCTCTGGGGGGCTCTTAGACTACCTCCATAGGAAGATGAGGGAGCTGAGTCATGATCAGCACTCTTAGCTGTTTACCAGTTGTAATCAGACCCTCCTAGTTATTACTTCTGGAGATCAGGAAGTCAGGACCCTCCAGCCAGGCAAAAATCTTCACTTTCTAAAGGTTTGAAAGGAAAGTGTTTCTGCCACCATGCTTGCTCCCTCATTGTGAGTCTCAGAAATTTCTCATCTGCGAGCCCCCGAAATCCATTCCTGCCTGTTGAATGGGGTAAAGTAGGTGGAGTTGTAGGCCGGTTGGCTGAATGGGCTTTCATTAAATGCCCTAGCTAAAGATGATGATTCAGCAGCAGGTGAGTCTCCTGGTCAACTGGAGAAGTTTCTTGGCCTCTTGTCGCCGTCCCCATGGTCCTATTACTAGTTCCATCATCTCCCCCTCCCTTTGATGTTCTCTACGACTTTCCAGCCCTAGAAAACAAAATCATGAATCACTGGCAGGTCCAGGTTTCTACCTCCTAGCCTGAAGTCCAGGAAAGCCACTTCAGTGTTTGCAGTGCCATCAATTCTATTATCCAAGTGAGAATTTTCCACAGTGTGGGTGGTCGGTAGATGGTTCCTAACACCAGCTTTCTCCTTGCTTGCAAACATACTTTACTAGTATTAATCAGGATGTGTTGAGAGCCTAGAATAGCGTTTAGAGGAAAACACACTGGCAGAGCTCAGTGCATTCCAAAAGAACATATCCATTTTCTGTATTATGCACATCTTTACAGGCTAAGCTTGAGATGCCTCAAGTGGGAAGTTACAGAATTGAGTGTGAGGCGGGCTCAACCTTCCACTTGTCTGCCCTGTCTCCCAGGTCCCCTGGGAATGCTGCCCCTAAGGGTGTCTTCACTAAGTGACTCCTTGTCAGGTGGACACACTCTGGACTTTGTGGGCCCCTGTGTTCACTTTCTCCCCCGTCTATTCTGTGAAGACATTATAATGCAGCTAATTTAAAATTCAACTGCTGATGAAATTTCTTAATGTCCCTGGTAATTTCCACATGAAAGAAAGAAGTGTTGCTTTGAACTAGCTAAACATTTTTCCATGTCTTTTGAGTAGAAACTGTAAGACATTATTATTGCAAAAAAGAAAAATAGTTTTTAAAATTTTCTGTTTTAAATGTTAGCAACAACACCTTTTTCCTTTTAAAATTTCTTTGACTGTTAGCCTTAGCTGATTCAGTCCAGTAAAGTACAAAATCATTAGTGAAACTGTCATTTGTTTATAATTTTATTTTCCAAGACGTTTTGTTGTTCTGTGGTTATTTTTCAGTTTATTGGAACCAATGGGTAACTAGTTCATTTCTAAAATTTTGACCGTGAAATTGAGGGCACATAAAATGAAAACTTTTGTCCTATGTTTATGTTTTGACTTTGCAAGATTAATAGGGAATTATATGAGGTGATTAAGCAATAGCCATGGAGTTGTTGGGGAATTTTTGGTGATGAATGGCCAGCTGGCAACACAGCCCGAGTAAAGGACTGGGCTTCTGATTTTACAGGCTGCTTTTCGTTCCAAGATGTCAAAGCCCTTATGGAAATCAGCTCATTAATCCTTCAAGTACCTTCCTTCCCCTTTCCACTCCTTCCCTCCCCCCTTTCATCCAGTTCTCTATTTCATGGTGTGAAGGCCCTTTACCACTGAAGGAGATGTAAGCTGACCCAGGTGGGAACTGAGGGACAATGGGGTTAGTGACTGGCCTGGACACACTGGCATGAGCACCATGAAAATGGACTCTGTTCCTTCCTTGTCAGGATCATCTCTGCTTCCCTTAGTATTTGCAGATTCGAGCTCGGGTCACAGCACTGCGTGCCTTTTAATAATCTGTCAAGTAGGACTAAGGGGAGAAAAGACGTGACTATGGTTAAGAGTTAGAACTTATGTTACATTGGACTTGAATTTTCCAGAAATGTATTTGGTTATTTGGTATCTGTTACAAAAGAAAACAAGAATATATGTGTGTCTAACTGTAACCCTAAACCTCAAGACTGAGATGATGTGATCAGAAAGAAAAGTGTTCCTTACTAAAAATTTCTGCTTCATTTTTATTTTTTCCCTGTGAGTGTAGTATATTACAAAATTTGGGAAATCT